ATGTATAACTTGCTGTTGGAATGGAATACACAAGATGAAATGGTTAAATCGGCTATGATAAGGTGGGCACAGGATATTGGGTATAATATTATGTTTGAGGACTGGGAAAGGCTGTGGAGTAATGGATTGAAATTTACTGCATGTAATGCTTTGAAAGAAAATGTAATGAAAATGATTTATAGATGGTATATGACCCCAGTCAAACTCGCAAAAATTTACCACCTGTCTGATAACAAGTGCTGGAAATGCAAAGAGTGTGAAGGAACGTTCTTTCACCTCTGGTGGACATGCCCTAAAGTGAAGGCGTTCTGGGAAATGATTTATAATGAATTGAAAAAGGTATTTAAATATACTTTCACTAAGAAACCAGAGGCTTTCCTTTTGGGTATTGTCAGCCAAGGGGTGGCAAAGAAGGACCAGACATTTTTATGTATGCAACAACAGCAGCAAGGATACTACTCGCAAAACATTGGAAAACCCAAGATCTACCCACACTGGAAGAATGGCAGATGCAACTGATAGACTATATGCAACTGGCTGAAATGACTGGCAGAATCCGTGACCTGGGAGAAGAGAGAATCGAGGAGGATTGGAAGAAATTTAAGAACTACCTACAAAAACATTGTGATTTGATTGAATGCTGAATAAGATGCTGGACTAAATAACTGAGCACCACTTAACTTAGAAATTTTTAAGGAAACAAGAAAAATTGTGAAAGTTTAACTCTTTATGAGAACTTTAAGATTATGAAATATCGAAGAGATATAAGAATTTAAATAAGATGATAAATTGCTGACAAAATGTTATAATGATGAAGGTGGGAGCGGGAGATGTGAGGAAGTCCAAAGAAAATGTGAAATTATGTTAAGACGAATGCTATATTGTTTATTACATTTATTCCTATTGTAAAACCCAATAAATTGCTTTAAAAAAAAAAAATGAAATTAGATTGGCACCTCCCTCCCTCCCTCCCTCCCTCTCTCTCTCTCTCTCTCTCTCTCTATATATATATATATCTGAAAAGTTGCAGAATTTCCAGGTACCATCTGCAGCCCAAGCTGAAATGATCCTTTGGGGATCAAGGATTTGGAATGCAATTCATCCAGGTATTGTCATTATTCACATAATGCACCTGCCTCATTTAGCTGAACACATGCAAATGGGATTTGGAAACAAAAACTGACATGGCTAGAACACTGATAGAAGACAAGCTGTGAGCACCACAGGGAGCTGATCTAAATCCTCCCATTGACTATGGTGGGCTTTGTGTCGCCTTGTACCGTCTAAGGAATTCGCAGCAGAGAAAAAGAACTGCCCTACAATGGCATATGGAACAACACGATTTTGTTTTGTGTAACCTCTTTCACAAAAACTGTGAGATTAATGTGCTTTGTGCTTAATGGCCTTTGAGCAACACTCGGGCAATTTTGTCATAAAAGACCATTACGAGAGTTCAGGGCGAGATGTTTTCTGGAGTCAGTCGGAAGCAATTCCGCACTAAAATAGGTGTGCGTGTATGTAAATTAGATATGAGCTCTGTGGCACAGAGCCTGCCAAGAGTGACTCAACTCTACTGACCAATTAGACAGTCTTAAAGAGCAGCGCAGGAGTGCTGTTGAGTGGGTAGCTTTGGCTTCTTGTGGGTAGGGATTTTGCAAGGGAGGGGAGATCAATTTAGCTGGGTTCATACTTTATTTTGAACCTACCTAATTTGCATTTCCCGTAACAATGCATGAACCACAATGCAGCTTTCGTTCCAAATTCACCCTTGCGTGTGAAGACCCCCCCCAAACCACCCCCAAAATAAAAACACAATATACACAGAATTTAGTTTAAGGTTTTTTGCATTAATTTTGGCCACAACTTTATTGACTACAGCATGTGAGTGGTTGCTTAAGCATTGGTTGCAGACTACCTAAACCTGCACAGTGGCAGGAACAGGACTGACACTAGGCACCACTATATGTCAGTAAGGGAAAGCACCCTGGGGGAGCGAGAAGCTGGCTTCAGACTCACAGCTCACCCCAGATGCTCCCAGGGGCTCTGGCGTGGTCCTAGCCCCTTGACAGGGTTTGGACAAAAGCAAGGTGAGCCCCTGGATTCCTTTAATGGAATTCTTTAGCAACAGAGATGGAGGGGCAAGCATAGCCAATCACGTCCCCTCCGCAAAACATTGAACCAATCCCTAACTGCCAACCTTACAAAGTTGTGATGATTTGCTACACGGTAGGCAAAAACCAAGTGGCACCAGCCAATCAGCCAAATGGCAAAATTCCTACCGGGCCCCTGCTCCAAAACAGACGACCCCTAGACAGGCATAGCAAGGCCAAAAGAACAGCCCTAAACATAGGGGGGGGTGTGATCCAATGCACGTCGCGATAAAGAGGAAGCTCCCAGTGACGTGCAGCAGCTTAAATAGCCCCTCAGTTGCCAATCACAATCCTCAAACAGCCAAATTCTACCCCAGCAACCGAGGGGCAACCAATGGCGTGTTGTGGCTATCCAAACGGTCCCGCCCCCAACAACAAGGAGGCAACTTTAGGTGATCTCACCGCAACACGTGCCCTCCATGATGGAGGACATGACTTCTCTGAATTTTGTGGTGCACTTCTCTAGCCAAATAATGTGTACAAAAAGACATATACCATATTGGTTGCAGGGTGTGCATTAAAATGCATATATTCATGAAAATAAGATGTAGAAATGCATTGCCTCATGGGATGTGAGAAATAGGGAAATTTCGGGTTCAAATCAGAAGTCGGGATGGCTTTTGTAATTCCAGGACTGCCCCTGGAAAATAGGGACACTTGGAAAGTATGGTAGAGGCTGCTATTGATATTTATTTTCTGTATCTTCATTTTAGGCATTATTATGATTTATGTGGAAATTGTTCAATTTGGTTGTGTATTTTTTTGACATTTATTGTTTATGACTTCTTTTGTTGTATGTATTGTTTTCATGTTGTAAGCCGCCTTGAGTATAGTTGGAGCTATGGAAAGGTAGCATACAATAAGGTTACATATGTATTTATTTATTTATTTATTTATTTATGTTTATGTCTCCTTCGGGACACGGGTGGCGCTGTGGGTTAAACCACAGAGCCTAGGGCTTGCTGATCAGAAGGTTGGCAGTTCGAATCCCCGCGATGGGGTGAGCGCCCGTTTCTCTGTCCCTGCCCCTGCCAACCCAGCAGTTCGAAAGCACCTCAAAGTGCAAGTAGATAAATAGGAACCGCTCTGGCGGGAAGGTAAACGGTGTTTCTGTGCGCTGCTCTGGTTTGCCAGAAGCGGCTTGGTCATGCTGGCCACATGACCCGGAAGCTGTACGCCGGCTCCCTCGGCCAATAAAGCAAGATGAGTGCCTCAATCCCAGAGTCGGTCACGACCGAACCTAATGATCAGGGTCCCTTTACCTTTACCTTTACCTTTATGTCTCCTTCAGTTTCTTGAGGGTGCAGGGAGGACCATGGGATATAATCTAATTAATAAAAGAGCACCACAGGGTCTCGAATTATGTGTGTGGGGGTTAAAATAATAAAAATCTGCCCCAAATAATGTGAAGGTATCAGTCATAAAGGTTGTGAGAGAAGCTGTTTGCAAATAACGCAGCCTATGGAAACTTCCCATGGCAGAAATGAGCCTTTGCTTCTTCACCGCCCACCACTTCCTTTTCATTGCCACCATCTGCAGACAAAACATGCTGCAGAAGAGAAGGAGCAGGGAGAAATAAAGATCGGGAAGACTGGCAGACAGGACTAGGAGAGCAGGGGGGTAGAGAAGCTGGCAATGTCAATGCTGCTGCCTGAGCAATTGGCACCGGCAGCTGCCCGTGGATGGGGGCAATTAAAGCATATGGACTCCTCCGAGCTCTTGTCGCTTTGCCAGTGCAGAGGAACTCCACCAAGCGCACAGAAGGTCAACCTTGCGTCTCTCAGAGTTGCAGAACAGGGGCTTGACAGGTCGGCACGCAAAAGAATAGCACGTTTCCATTCACCCGGAAACGCAAGCTATAGCTGTGCTTTGTCTCTGGCAAGAAAATGCCACACAGTGATGGAGCTGGCCTCTTTCCAATGTTTACTCAGAGTGCATCATTCCTCGGTGCTGTAGGAAGAGTTGTCACGCATCCAACACAGCATCCACCCAGGGTAATATGTAGAGTGCCTGCAACGGTTTGCCTGGCCAAGAAGTAAATTAGAATCTACACAATACGCATGAGTATTTTTTTTCTTTTCCCTCCCTCCAGTCCTGCAGCAATTTCGCTAAAAGGTCTAGTCTGATGCACTAAAATGATGCCGGAATCTGTGCTTTCATCTTCCAAAATGACTTCCAAAAACCACCTCCTAAAAATCATCTTTAATTTCTCTCTCTCTCTCTCTCTCTCTCTCTGTGTGTGTGTGTGTGTGAGAGAGAGAGAGAGAGAGAGAGAATTCAACTGTTGTATAGGTGACATTAAGGGTTTTTTTCCAAACTAAAGCAGGCAGGAATTTAAGAAAACGATATGTGGGTTGCAGAAAACAGTTGTCTTCTTTTTCATGGCAGTTTTGTTCGCATGACCTTCTTTTAATATACATCAATTTATTCCATGTTACAATGAGGCAGGACTGAAAAAACTATTTGCATCTCTGCAAATATGGTCTTCATGATTTTTGCATATCTTCACTGTACCTCTGACCATCTGTACAGACAAATTGGAGTACCACCAGATTCTTCTAAACTGCATTTATACATTATATTTAATAATTGGGTGGGGGCGGGATGAGAAAAGAGAATACGATCATTCTCACCAAAATACTGATGATTGGTTGTATGGAGGTGGGGGCTAGGGTATGGGGAAATTTGTTGGCTGTCATTTTGTTTTGCCCATTTAAAAACTAAGCCAAGTAATAAATAAATAAATCATGAAAGCCAACCCTAATGATAGGAAGTACATTGAATCATAGAATTGTAGAGCTGGACAGGAGCACGAGGATATCTAGTTTAAACCCCTGCAATGCAGGAATCTTTTGCCCGTGGGGCTCAAACCCAAGACCCTGAGTTTGAGAGTCTCATGCTCTACTGACTGAGCTATGCTATTAAAGACCATTGCACAATTGTGGGATTTTTAGCATTCGTGTTTGTTTTCCTTCCACCGGACCCATATCAAAGGAAGAGTTCTTTCCCACTGGGCCTCTTGCAAAGCCTGCATAAGAGCAACAGCTGCCCCTCCCTTGGGGTGGATCTACACGCAGGGAGGGAAATGTTATAAATAAGTCAGAAATTATTATTTTTTTAAAAAAATAATATTTATTAATAGTTTCAGAATAATAGAAAAAAAGGAAAAATAGAAAAACAACACTACAATACATAAAAAAGAAGGAAAAAAACACAAAACATAAAAACCAATACAGCAATGCAACAAAAGAAAAACAAAAAAGGAAGAAAAAAACAAATCCCAAATTACGTATCTTTAACTTCCATTTGCTTGTTTCATTGACCTCCTCACACCTCCCTTCCTGTATTCTAGTTTAATTAGTTATTTCAGCAAATTCTTTCCATCCTTCTCAATTTTTTTAAAAATAATTTATCTTAACATTTTAACCTAATAGTTAACTCAACAAATCCTTTCCATCTTTCCCCATATTCTGTTATTTAAATTACCTTGATTTATTTAACCTTATCTTACCATAAAATACCTTAAAGCTTGAATCTTAATGCTCAAATATACATAACTCCTGATATCATTTCTGCTAGAGTCATATAGTTTCATTCCAACATTTTCCCTAATATTCATTTATTTTAGGCTAATTCCCCAAATAAAAATTTTCTTTATAGATTTTCTTCCAGTCTTCATCCAACGTCTCTTCTTCCTGGTCTCGGGTCGTGTCAGTCCTTACTGCCCATTCCATCTAGTCCATCAACATGGAAGTCTTATGTCCGAGGCCCTTAAGTCTCTTCCATGTCCCTTCTGCAGATGATCTTCTTCTTCTTGTTTATACTTGCCCTTTTCCTTGTCTTTTGTTGGTCTCTTTCTTAATTTCTTTCCTTTCTCATTGAGGAGTAGGTCTCTGGGGAGTTCCAACCCAAAATTACCTCCATCTCCCTTCATCAAACCCGCCCATTCCCCACAGTCCCACTCCCCACAGTCATCAGTGTAATCCAAAAAGTATTTAAAAACATATTTCAAAGTCTCTCCAAAGTTAGGAACCTCCTCAGCTCCAGACTCCCCCTGGCCCACTCCAACTTCCATCTTCAATGGCAGCGGCTTATGCTCCTGTAGGGCCTCGGGTTTCTCCATTTGTATTATTTGAGGTGCAACCGCATCCTCCTCCATTATTTTCTGCACTTGCCCAGTCAGTACAGGTTCATGAGTTGGTCCCTGAATGGTTTCTGTATCAATGTTCCCTGTTTGTCCACAGTTGTTAACCACAACAGTCATCAAGTCCATTTTCTCATTCATCAAATCCATCTTCTCGTGCATCTGTTCCAGCAAGGCACTTGTCTTGCATAAAGCAAGCACCCAGTCTTCCTCCCAGCTCATCTTTAGTCAAGGTCAGAAGAGACTAATCCCACGATCTTAATCTCACAGCTGTTGAGTCCTCACGTAGACTGCAGCAACAATTTAACAAGCTACCTCTAGGGGAGACAATTTCTATTTGTATCCATTTTTTTTTAAGGCAAGTCCAACAAAGGAAAATTACTTTCATTTTTCAGATATTTTTCAGATATTTTGTTTCTTTAGAATGCAAAAGGCAACATTGGAATCAGTTTATTTCTCTTCTTTAGTAATCTGTCAAAATATTCCATTCACAGTCAATGAACCTCTCCAACTATTTCTGTCTCTGACACCCCGTTTCCAGGTTAGAGACGGTGGAAACTTGTCCTTCTTCACTCCCTCTCCTGCAGGGGTTAAACAAAGTTCTCCCCCCTTTTCTCCTACTTCCAAGGGGGTTTCAGTAATTATAAATGAAGGAAATTTAGACTTTTTTAACGGCTTTCCAGGCTTTAGCTTACAAAGTTTTTGCTTTAGTCTATATACAGAAAGCGGAAGGCGGACTTCCTGTTTTGAACCTTCCCACTTCGATACCAAATTAAGATATTTCTTGATCCAATTTTCCGTTTCTACTCACGGGTACTTGTTTTAAATCCAATTGGCCACAGGAAAAAGTCAGCGCTCTCCGGCGATGGCTGTGCGGCTTCATTCCGTAAAAATAGCAATCAGTTCGCAGCACCGCGCCGCTCACCCCACTTCGCTCCGGCGCCCCGAAACGGGGTTCCCGGTGAGTAGGGTGGGGCGCTTCTGGTGCCCTGCTGAACCCCACGTTCCCAGGATTTCTCCGCCTGGGATTTCTAGCGGGTCCCCACCTTCGCCGCAGCGGGAAGACCCAGTTTCTACGGAGCCCGTTCCTCCGATCGGAGGAACTCCGCCATTCACCGAAGGCGCTGACCCGGAAGTCCCTATATAAGTCTGAAATTAAATCATTGTAACAAAAGGGAAAAAATGCTATGTAAAACTGCATAGAAAAGTTTTTTTGCTCTACAGTGCCACCTGGTGTTGCATGTTTATAATGCATTCAAAACAGTGTGTGAAAGCAGGTTGCACATGCTTTATAAGCAGCAAAAGGTCTCAGCTGAGCAGAGGTGGAGAACCTCAGACCTGGATGTGACCCTTCTAGGCCTCTCTGCCTGGCTTTTGGGATTCTCCCTTGACTGAGACTGAAATGTGAACATGCTGGGAATGTGCTTGAAAAAGCACGCCTTTGTTGGAAATTCTGACTTGCCATGTGATACCCCAAACTTTTCATAGAATCATAGAATCATAGAGTTGGAAGAGACCACAAGGGCCATCGAGTCCAACCCCCTGCCAAGCAGGAAACACCATCAGAGCACTCCTGACATATGGTTGTCAAGCCTCTGCTTAAAGACCTCCAAAGAAGGAGACTCCACCACACTCCTTGGCAGCAAATTCCACTGTCGAACAGCTCTTACTGTCAGGAAGTTCTTCCTAATGTTTAGGTGGAATCTTCTTTCTTGTAGTTTGGATCCATTGCTCCGTGTCCGCTTCTCTGGAGCAGCAGAAAACAACCTTTCTCCCTCCTCTATGTGACATCCTTTTATATATTTGAACATGGCTATCATATCACCCCTTAACCTCCTCTTCTCCAGGCTAAACATGCCCAGCTCCCTTAGCCGTTCCTCATAAGGCATCGTTTCCAGGCCTTTGACCATTTTGGTTGCCCTCCTCTGGACACGTTCCAGTTTGTCAGTGTCCTTCTTGAACTGTGGTGCCCAGAACTGGACACAGTACTCCAGGTGAGGTCTGACCAGAGCAGAATACAGTGGCACTATTACTTCCCTTGATCTAGATGCCATACTCCTATTGATGCAGCCCAGAATTGCATTGGCTTTTTAGCTGCCGCGTCACACTGTTGGCTCATGTCAAGTTTGTGGTCAACCAAGACTCCTAGATCCTTTTCACATGTATTGCTCTCAAGCCAGGTGTCACCCATCTTGTATTTGTGCCTCTCATTTTTTTTGCCCAAGTGCAATACTTTACATTTCTCCCTGTTAAAATTCATCTTGTTTGTTTTGCCCAGTTCTCTAATCTGTCAAGATCGTTTTGAAGTGTGATCCTGTCCTCTGGGGTGTTAGCCACCTCTCCCAGTTTGGTGTCATCTGCAAATTTGATCAGGATGCCCTTGAGTCCATCATCCAAGTCGTTGATAAAGATGTTGAATAAGACCGGGCCCAAGACAGAACCCTGTGGCACCCCACTAGTCACTCTTCTCCAGGATGAAGAGGAACCATTGATGAGCACCCTTTGGGTTCGGTCGGTCAGCCAGTTACAAATCCACTGAGTGGTAGCATAGTCAAGACCGCATTTTACCAGCTTCTTTACAAGAATATCATGGGGCACCTTGTCAAATGCCTTGCTGAAATCAAGGTAGGCTACATCCACTGCGTTCCCTTCATCTACCAGGCTTGTAATTCTGTCAAAAAACGAGATCAGGTTAGCCTGACATGACTTATTTTTCAGAAATCCATGCTGACTATTGGTGATCACAGCATTCCTTTCTAGGTGCTCACAAACTGTTTGCTTAATGATCTGCTCCAGAATCTTCCCTGGTATTGATGTCAGACTGACTGGGCGGTAATTATTTGGGTCCTCTCTTTTCCCCTTTTTGAAAATAGGGACAACATTTGCCCTCCTCCAGTCTGCTGGGACTTCGCCTGTTCTCCAGGAATTCTCAAAGATGACTGCCAGTGGTTCTGTGATCACATCTGTCAGTTCTTTTAATACTCTTGGATGCAGTTCATCTGGCCCTGGAGACTTGAATACATCTAAACTAGCCAAGTATTCTTGTATTATCTCCTTAGTTATTCTGGGCTGTGTTTCCTTTGCTGAATCATTTGCTCCAAATTCTTCAGGTCGGGCATTGTTTTCTTTATCGGAGAAGACTGAGGCAAAGAAGGCATTGAGGAGTTCAGCCCTTTCTGTGTCCCCTGTTTGCATTTCACCATCTTCTCCTCTGAGTGACCCCAATGTTTCTTTGTTCTTCCTTTTGCTACGAACATACCCATAAAAGACTTTTTTGTTGCTTTTAACCTCTCTAGCAAGCCTGAGTTCATTCTGTGCTTTAGCTTTTCTGACTTTGTGTCTACACGTGCTGGCTATTTGTTTGAATTCCTCTTTGGTGGTTTCCCCCCTCTTCCATTTTTTGTACACATCCTTTTTAAATCTTAACTCAGTTAAAAGTTCTTTAGATAGCCACCCTGGCTTCTTTAGGCACCTTCCATGTTTCCGTCTCATTGGTATTGCCTGACGTTGTGCTTTTACTATCTCCCTCTTAACAAACTCCCAGCCATCATGAACTCCCTTTCCTTTTAGTATTACTGTCCATGGGATCTCACCCAGCACTTCCCTAAGTTTTATGAAGTCGGCTTTCTTAAAGTCAAGAAATTGAGTCCTAGTATGCTTGGCTGCTCCTTTCCGCTGTATAGTAAACTTCAGAAGAGCATGATCACTCGCGCCTAATGATCCTTCCACTTCTACCCCACTAACCAGGTCATCAACATTGGTTAGGACCAGATCTAA